GTAGTTGTATTTGCTGCTGCTGCTGCGAGCAGCAGCAGACGCAGCAGCAGCAGCAAATGGAAGACGAGAAGGAAGAAGTGCTGCTGCTGCTGCTGCTGCTGCTTTTTGTTTTTTGCTGCTGTCTTCACTAGCAGCAGTAGAAGCAGACCAAGAAAACGGGGGCCCCAGCTCGTTGTCCTGGTTGAGGGGATTCTTGCTTCTCTCCTCCTTGCTGCTGCTGCTGCTGCTGCTGCTGCTGCTGCTGCTGTTGCTGCTGCTGCTGCTGCTGCTGTTGGTTCTGGTGTTTGTTGCGTTCAGTTTCAGCTGTTCTGTTGTTTTTTCTGTTTTTTCTTCTTCTCCTGCGGGGAGGGGAGAGGAGGAGACATCCTTTTTTTCTGTTTCTGTTGTATTTATATTTTTATTTTTTCTTTTTGTTTCTGTTTGGTTCTTTTGTATATCTGACGTCTCTCTCAGTTCATCCTGAATAAGAAAATAAATATATTATTTTATTTTATTTTATTTTTTTTATATATATTGTAAATAATGTTTAATTAGATTGTGTTTAAAAATATAATATAAATCACCAACAAAGGGCGCCAAGAAGAGCCGTAGTTTTCTTCTTCTTTGTTTTGTTCTTTCTCTCCTTCGTTTTCTGTTTTTGTTTGGCGCAGGCGGCTTGACCTAACAATAAAAAACAAATATAATTATATTACTAAATTCTTTGTTTTGTTGTTTTTAATTGTTGTTGTTTTTTTTATTTATTGTTCTTCATTTCATTGGCCACAATATATAAAACATATTCGTTGTTTTATTCTTTATATTATCATAAATATTATTTAATTTATTTTTTATAATTTAAAATATCTAGTAAATTTATTTTTTATTATCGATACTATTTAATTAATTAATTTTTTATGATTTATATTTTTTAATTTATTTTTTACTATAAATATTATTTAATTTAATTTTATTATAAATATTATTTAATTTATTTTTATTATAAATATTATTTTATTTTTTTTTAATTATAAAAACAAATGCATACCGTCTCAGCACGGCGTTAGAAAGCTGCGCCAATACCCGATCAAATTCCTGAAGTATAGAAGACAGAATATATATATTATTATGTATATATTTATATATTTATATATTTATATATTTATATATTTATATATTTGTATATTTATATATTTATAATATCAACGAAATAAAAATAATAAAAATAATAATATAGAGAAAGAATATATATTTGCTGCTTTTGTTTAAACCCGCACCAATTCAGAAAATTCAGGGGTAGATACAGCCGAAGAAAAACCTAAAGAGGAAATAAAATTAATTAATTAATTTATTTTTTAATAAATAAAAAAAATAAATAAAATAAATAAAATAAAAGAAACGCACAAACTGCAACCTTTAGGAGCATCTGTGCTTCTAATTTGAGGACCTGAAAGAGAGAAAAAAAATAAATAAATAAATTAAAAAAAATAAATTTATTTTTTTTTTATTTACCCCCAATACTTTAGATAGCCGCGCCTCGCTTGGTTCTTCATCGGCTTTAGTAAACGAAAATTATGAGTTTGAATTCTACAGAAAAAAAAAAAAAAAAAAAAAA